TCAATAAGCAGATCATTAGTGTTTGGTTAAACTGCTTGATTTTTATTATCATTTGTGATGATGTGAGGGCTGCTGAAATTTTGTCCTGTGAGCAACATATTACACTGAAGGATTTGTAGCTGTATTGGTCACAGGTAATGGATATTAATTAAAATATAAATAGATACAAAAACCCATATGTAGTTTCTATACTTTATTGGGATTTAGAATAATTATCAAGTCGTATATTTTATATAAATTTCAAATGCATGGTGAAGGAAAAGTGAATTTCTCTTGTCAGGAAGAAGTTGGTGAATCAATATCTTTTTTCATATGTAATGTGATTCAGGCAGGTGTTAGAATGGGGGCCACCACTTTTCACATCTCCTGACATCTAACCAGCAAAGAAACTTGCTGAAGAAATCAGAGTAACTTCTTGGTTAACTTCTGTCCTGAATCCATCTGCTGTGCTTTCTGATAGGTGATGACCGCCCTCACCACTTCGATTAACACTTCAAGTTGTAGCCCCTTTTTTTCCCCAGCCAAAGGTTAGACATTTTTCTAGCAGAATGTTAGCCGCAGCTCCCTCAGCAGTACGTTCACAATTTTAGAATAAACCTCCATGGTTTGCTGTGTTGGACTTACCCAAAATAAGTCTCTAAATCCAATTATGAATTTCTAGTAAGGCTTGAAATATGATATTCCATACCCAATTAATCCACTCTGACCAAGCCTCAACCATTTGGAAAAGAACAAAGAGCAACACAGTGTCTCCAGATTTGCTAAGCTGATATTCCTGAATTTTACAGCTGTAATTTCTGCAGAAACAGTAGTTTAAAACACTTAATGGGGTAAATAAAATACAAGACAAAATATAGATTATTTTTTTTTACAAGCTTGTCAAAAGATTTTTTTTCATCCTGTTTGCAGTTTTAAAATACATTATGTCAGTCTGTCTTTAAAAAAAACTCAGAAATAATAAATTAAGGTTTTATGACGATAATGTGGAAAAGTTCAAGAGTGGTTGATGCTTTGGCAGGACACTGTAAATGGTCATGTCATGAAAGTGATTGGCATTTCTTTTAAAGAATTTTGTTAGATTGGCCAGGAACTTTTTCTATGAGTATAATGAATGAAAGATTTTTGTCAGTTGTCCCAAAAAGGACTCCTAATTCATGTTATTAGCATGTAAAAAAAAGTTAGCAAGTTCAAATATTTTGACCAAAAATGCATGTTAACAGTTGAAGGTGTACTTTTCTCAGATTTTGAAAATGTTCTTATGATGTCTTACTGGAATAACTATGTGCCTCTTTGTTTATGTTTTAGTTCATTATTATATATATAACTATGTGTGGATGCATGAGAGGTTTTTTTGTGTGATTAATGGATTAGAGATGGCTAGAGATTCTGCTGTCATGTTGGATTATATGGAGCGACAAGCTCCACTGCTCCATCTCATAGATCATATCAGAGCAAACCTCTCACATTCCTGCCAATTTTCTGCTTCACTTCATTTCCCTCTCAAAGCAACCTGGGAGTGCGTGTGTGTCTGTGAGTAAATATGTGTTAGTGTGCGTGTGACTGTTTGCTTGTTTGTGAACTTGCAACCCAGTATCAGCTGAGCTCAAGACCCACCCTGTCATCGCTACACTTTTGCTGAAGTTTCCAATAATGCACACGCCTGTTTTAGAATATTAGAGCAGTAAATCATGCAAATGTATGTTATTATATTTTAGCACTTGCAGAGGAAGACCTTTATAGAAAGTCTTACATATTACATGTTCGTATTACAAATAAATGAACAACTTGTCTAGATGTGGCATAAAAAATTGCCTGACATTTTGCATAAGGTTATATAAAAATTATTGTTGTCAAAGGACAAATAAGTGAAAGAAAAAACACAATTTAAAATTTTACATATTTTGTATTAGTACCATGTTTTAATCTTCATTATAATACAGATTATTCAAAACTGATAAAAAAAATAGTAAAAACTCCAACTTCCCACCTGCTAAATGAAGTTTCAAAGCAAAGCTAAAAATTGTAATTCTTTGTAGCATTATTTTGGACAAACAAAGCTGCTAGCGTGTCCATGTATAAGAAAGAGACCAAAAGTACTAAATACTGTAAAATAAAAACATCAAGCCATACTAATTTACACCTGGAGTATCTGCTGCTCAGATGGAAAAATCAAAAGATGAAGCAAACTTGCCATTTTCTAAATATGGCATGGGTCTGACATGTGGTCAGTTTCTGCCTTTGGTCTGCAACCCAGAGCTTTACTCTTATTCTTCCACATTTGTTGTTCTCCCACAGCAAAATTGTAGCAACAATCACATGTGTAAAGACAGCCAATGAAAAAGCCCCCCGACTTATGACCAATAATTTGCCTGTATGTTTTAGTCTTGAAGCAGAAATACTCTACTTCAGACATTTCTGTCTGTCTGTGTCTGTGTTTACAGTTTGATCTAGAGATTTGCAGCTTCTCCTACAGACACAAACATCTCCTCACACAAATACAGATTTGCACATTTTCAAATCTATCTGCACACGCACAAACCGAGATACAGACATATTACTCTTTACTCACAAATAATATTGCTATAGTTGTAGTCCCATAGTTCAAGACCCTTGAGATGTTAGGTGCAAATCCACAGGAACACTGACGAGGCTCACTGCTGTCCCTGTACCATTTGTGATTCCAAAAAGGCAGGCAAGGCCTAATGGCGGGGGAGTCCAAATCACATGCTATACAATGAAGCACTGAATTGTGTTTAACTAAAATAACATCACGCATTGCTTTGCCTCCCTTCAGTGTGCTGTAGAAAATCATGATTCTGATGTTTGTGCTCGTAATAAAAGTGCAGCATTAGGTACTTTATCTTGGCAAAAGAGCAGAAGTTTGCAAACATGGAAACCAGGAAGATAAGCAGATCAGAGATGGTCTCAACAGTGTTTGATAACAACCACTCACCATTCAAGTCAATGTTGACCAAGATATTTGCTCCTAAAAGCAGCTGAACGCAGCTATCCCTACAGAAATGTGTAACAAACAAAAAGGACTCAGTAAGACGAGATGAAAAAGTGTAGAACAGTTTATTGTCTGTAATCTGCTGCAGGTTGAAGATTAATCACTGGCACAGGAACCAATGGAAGTAAAGACTACAGGATTGTGACTAGAAAGAGCCTTTGGGAGGTGTTAGTTATTGAAACTTTGGCCACCAACCTTCTCTGAATACTGGAACAGGCTTGGAAGGCAAGTGATGGCTCCTGTCGGTAGGTGACGTCACCGGTGAAGCCAGAATCCCATCAGTTTGAAGGATTTTACTCACGGGGCCGGCAAGTAATAGATAGTCAAAGAACAGGCAATGGATCCGAACCAGAATGGAAGAGACAGTCAGGGTGATCAAGAGGAATAACTAGAGTCCAGGGCTCCGAGAACAGATCCATGGTTAGGGCCAGGTAATCACAAATGCAGGGCAGAGAGTCAAACAGCACAAATGAACAGATCCAGCAGGGGTTAGGGAGACTCGGGCAATCAGAGGGAAGAATCAGATCAAAAACAGGCAGGCAGACAGGGTTTCAGGAATGCTCGATTAAACTCATCAGGTCATAATGATAAAGGCTGATGAGGATGGAGCTGAGCTGCACAGGTGTGCTGAATGGGGAATCAGACCAGCACTCGTGCCAAGATCATGACAGAAAGTTCCCAATTTGGCAACTATATTGTGTGTGTGAGCGAGAGCGAGAGATAGATCATATAAAACTGAAGTTGCATTAGATGGTGTTTGTAAGTGATTTCCATAAGAGCCTCGAAGCTATAAAATGCAGCCAATAGTTTTAAACCTAAATTTATAGAGTCATTATTGGAGCTATATCGCAGACTGTTTGGCATCAGGCTGGAAGGTTTATGGTATTTTATAACAATGAGCTAAAAGAACTGCTGGCAGATATAAACTAAGACATACATCCTAAACTTTTCCATGCATATATATTTAAGAAGATCCTCTTACAGTGCTCTTGCCTTACAATTAGGGACACAAGGTCAGGGTAATTTAAACTTGGTTCTATTAGGACATTGACATCAACATACAGCAACGTAAGCAAGTCTTACATTTAAGCAACATAACTTCTTAAATTTCATCCGCCAATGCTGTAAGGCTGGAGGTCTGCATTCCAATGATAATACCCCCAATGAATAGTCCTTCTACAATAGTTATGCTATATTGGTGTAATGTGATTTTAAATGATGTGTGCAGCTCCAGCTCTGTCAATGTATTACATTCGATCCTCTGTCAGCACTGCTTGCAACATGCAGGTGTTTGTATTTCCTATTTGTCATGTCTCAGGGCAGGAAAATATTGTGTGAGACTTTAGAGTTAGATCAGCAATTCTCAGCACCTGCCTGGAGCTAAACTCCTGACAGCACATTTAGTTCAGCAGCCTCACTGATGGCCCCATCACTCTTCCATGGTAATTCTTCAAACCACGATTTGTTAATTACAAACAAATCCAGTTATGAATACATATTGAATGAATATATTATTTTTATATTGTTAGATCATGAACAATTAATATTTAAAAAAAAAAACTCTATATGAGAAATCTATATGAGAGTACCGTATATTCTGATGAAGATTCTCATTCATCCAGGTCATAGTCACTATGTAAAAGTTTAAAAACAAGACATTTGAATTGAGAAATCTTCCTGGAGGGGAAGCGAAACTTCTTCAAACCTTGGAAACCAAGTCCAGTGGATTGTTTTTAAACTTTTACGGAATACATGAGAGTATGTTGGAAAGAACCAACTTTTTATGCAGCTCAAGATAGTTTAAGGAAAAATACTGATTGCAACCGGCGGGATGCTTGGAAGGAGCTAGTGGGCCAAAATAGGTTTCAATGCATGATTTCCAACCATGACGTCTTGGTGTATTATCAACAGTATCCTTGGAAACGGTGGCCCCAGCTCTATTCAGGTCATTGACCAGCTCCTCCCGTGTAGTTCTGGGCTGATTGCTCACCTTTCTTAGGATCATAGAGACCCCACGAGGTGACATCTGGCACAAAGCCCCAGTCTGAGGGAGATTGACAGTCATGTTTAGCTTCTGCCATTTTTTAATAATTGCTCCAACACTGGACCTTTTTTCACCAAGCTGCTTGGCAAAATCCCAGTAGCCCTTTCCACCCTTGTGGAAGTCAACAGTTTTGTCTTGAGTGTCTTTGGACAGCTTTTTGCTCTTGGCCATGTTAAGCTGTGCATACCCTGTACAAATTTTTGCAATAAAATCTATTTAATTAATTTATCAAATTGAATGCGTTAACATTGCGTCCTCACTGTATGTATATATATATATATTTTTTTTTTTTCATTACATTTTGGTAATTATATATATATATACATATACAATTACATTTTTTAAATACATGCTTTGTGTGATAAAACAATACGAGGAAATACATTTTTCTTTTATATAATATTCATTGTTTCAATGCATGAAAATCTATTTCATTATTTTATCAAATTTGATGTGTTAAGTCCTATCTCTAGTGTAAATATATTGCTACCTCTGGTGGATTTAAAATTCAAGTTATTTTCCATTAAATATGTTTGTTTGTATTTTCTCATCAGAAATAAGATGATATTTAAAACAGGTATAATTGAAAAAAAATATATATTTTTATTTACATTTTAATTTGAATTTGGATGATTATTCATACCTTTTTTAATGATTAATGGAAAATCCTCATTGGTAACCATATCTTTCTTAGAATTTCTGTCAACCCTTCTGCATGTTGCCACAGGTATATTGATTTGTCTTTGGTGATTAGCTAAGATTCTTTGAATTTAGAATCCCTCATTGCCATTTACCTAATATCAGGCTTTCGATATTTGATTGTGGCCATTGCTGGTCAACTCCAAAAAATTTATTGTGCTTCCAGTCAAATTACATGTTGGCCGAAACAATATAAAATCCTTCAAATTTAAATCTCACCGCAAGAAGATCCAAGATTGCTGTCCTCTTCAGAGCCTTTCCCTGATGTCCTCTTCCAATCCAAAAGCATCCAAGTTAGGTTAATTCAGGATTCCACATGTGCCTTCAGCTGTGTTTACTTGAATAGTGTTTGTAATCGCTTGTCCTTGTGATTCACCCACCATTCAAATATTGTATCCTACCTCTAGATAATGAATAGATGTTTTATAAGAGCTTAAGCGGCTTTGCATTCAATACCTCTCAGATTGCTGGCCTGTGGGCCACCACATTAAAGTTGTATTGTGTTTTCTGCATGATGGGGCACTGCTATTACATATCTACATGTTAAAGTGTGCTGCAGGCATATGACGGCGATTTGTAGAAAATTAGAAATAATCTTATCTGTGATTTTAGGTTACGTTTTGTTATGCTTACCAGTTTGCTTTGCAATCTAAACAAAAAAAAGGACATAACAAAGATTAATCTATATTCATTATTTCTATTTTAGCGTATCTAGTCACAGGGTAACAGGGTTAAGAGAAAGCCAAGAAATCCCTCTCAATTTTAATCTTGGGCACCCTTAGGTGTTCCCAGGCATCTAATTTGGGGTTCTTAGTGAGTCATGTTTAAAATCTAATTACATAACTAAACCACCTCTGATGACTTGTTAGAATGAAAATGAGCAAAGTATCTGCTCCAAACCCTCCCGAAACCTGAGCTTTACAACTGCTACTAAAGATTGGCTAAATAATGTTTCTCAAAAAAAAAAAAAAAAAAAAAAAAAAACAGCTATCTTGTATTAGATCAAAATTGGCTCACAGTTTTTTTTTTTTTTTTTTTAACTTTTAATTATTTGGCAAATGTCTGGGGAATACTTTTTGAACATTAATATCTTTCTTTATCAATTATTCGTTGGTTCCCAATTGGTAGCATACTGCCTCTCTGCTCTCTGTGTTAAATAGTAAGGTTTGTGTTCTCCTAATATTAAATCAACACTCATTTTGCATGCCACCAGTAGAGTTAGAATAAAATGTAATTTGTACAATCATACTAATTCATGTTGTCATGTAGCATTTCTGGGAAGGAAGCTGATGCCGTTGAAACAGTAAAATACAATTCTTTATTTCTTGGAAAAGCTACTACCGGTAATCTATAATATAGGCAGCTGAGTAAGAAATAAACAATCAGAAATATCCAGTATATATTAGCAACCAATTACAGAGCTAACATCATATACTGGTAGATTACTAGCAGTGATAGGGTTATTTAAAAGAGGGACAACAGCATAGAGGTTTTTACACATGATTGGAACTGTTGTGATTCCAAAGGTGTGAAGGTCTTTTTCAAAATGCCCACACTATCAACTTTTTAGCTTGACTCTCTGGTTATAGTTAGTATTTGCTTCTTAAAGACTGTTAAATATCACTGTTAGTGTTGAGGTAGAGACAGGATACAATCTTGTTTGGCTCTAATACTTCTAGTTAAAGTAATTAAATAAAGAAATACAAAATGGCCTGGCTGAAGTTGGAAAAGTGTATGCAGCTGAGTTTCAATTATTGATTGAAGACAGAATGTTTAGCTTTTTAACATTAAAGCTACAGTGTGTAATAATTACAGGGATATAAAGTCAGAAATTTAATATATTATACATAACTATGTTATTTATCATCACCTATGAGCTCAGCCATTTAACCATAATATTTGCGTTGCCTTAGAATTCGTTATTTATAATTACATAGGAGCGGGTCTCGCAGCCATGGAGGCTGACATCTTTGTGCTACGGCAAGCGCAGAGGCAACAAACTAGCGATTGCGAGATCGCCCATTACGCTCGAAAATAACTACGGCAAGTTGAGAGAGATTAACTGAGACGGTACTGAACAGTAGATGGCAGTACTATGCCTGAGAAGCGTTTAGTCTGCCTGAAACCAAAGAAGAAGAAGAAGCAGGTATACTGCGCCTCAGTAACAAGAAAGGTGAACAAGGCGGCAGGCGTGAGTGACTTTGCAAACTGTTTGGCACTGTGTGGCCAAACATCAGACGAATGGAGGATCATGCCTACTCTGTATCACAACGAAAAGCGGCGGGCACCGAACCCCCGTCATCTAAGAAGCGGAAACACTACGAGAATAAACGCAAGAGTGACAAGAAACGACAAAAAACACGGATCAACATTGGCACGGCATTTACACGATGGAAGTCACTGATGGAGGAAAAAGGTTTTCAAAGTGACGCTCAAGTTGCCAGTTTTCTCTTGGACAGGTAATTAATCCTACACACACAATTGTCTAATATCACTGCAGTTTTTGGAGTACAGAATGCTCAGACCTGTCTAAAACAATAACATGCTGCGTGATGATGCTGTTACTCTCCAGTATACTTATTCAGCAACGTCCCTGACGTTTCACAGGTAATGATTCAGTAATTTTCTGTAAAATAATTTTCTGGATATATACCTCGGTTACTTCTCTCCGGCTCCTTTGGAGATCTTCAAGCCTTTCTTCCTCTGCTCTCACCCCGCTGGCTCCCCTCCCTCGCCTGGCCCTAGCTGCACGCCCACCCCGGCCTCTCTGTCCTTGCCCTCTTCCTCGCCTTGTAACCCCCGTGCCACAAACAAGACTTGGACTCTGTAAACGGGGAATATATATTCTTCCAGCGAACACAATCTTGCTGTTAAACTAATGACTACAATTCCTTCGTCTGTTTATATCACCATGCAAAGCAGCTCACCAAAACGTCACAACGATGTAGAAAAAATAACGGGTATATTTATTATCTAAAGTCTACATGAAATCTATACCCTATACAGACTAATGAAATACTATCTGTAAAATTATCTATGTAAACAAACCTCATCACTTGAGAAGGTAGGTGATTCCGACGTCGTGGAAGACATTTTGTCCCCTAACGCTTGCCGTACTGTTGGGGGGGAGAAGCGGTGGGGGGGAGACGTTCATTTTGCTGCAGTCTGCAGTCTGGACGTTAGATGTCGCTGAAAATTACACACTGTAGCTTTAAGGGACATGTTATTACAAAAACTGGAAACATGGAGTTCTTTGATTAAGCATCTATTGGAGAGTCATAGAGAAACTGGGGAGTGCCGCATCTGGGATAAAGGATTTGATTACCTGGTCCTGGATGGGTTTCCCACTTGAGCAGTGCACAACAGGAGGTGTCTGGATAAGAGGCACCACAGACCTCGGCTACAAAGGGACATCAGTCCAGCAGTGTGTTCAACAGCGCTGTGTTGCATTCACAGCGAGACACTGTTCTCCTCATGACGGTTGGTGTAGTTAATTACAGTGAGCCAAGAACTTCATGAGTCACATCAGGTACTCAACTCATACCAGATTTTCTTTTTTTTAATGTCCTTATCAAATTAGAATTGCACATTCCAGCTGTTACACAAAGTTTAATTATAGATTATTACAGTTAATTCTACTGCACATCAAATCATGACCATTCCTCCTGGTTTTCGGTCTATAATGCTGGGGCCACTTCCATGCAGAGCTCTAAGGAATTGGGCAATCTTATCCCCTGGGTAAATCTAGTTCTTGAGCCAGCAGGTCAGTACGATCACACAGTTTACGGTATACATGAGGTCTCTGATTCCTCTTATCTGACTTCCTGCAATGCAGAGTTCTAGCAGCCCTATTCTAAGATCCATGTGGATGTCAGGACTCCTTAACTTATCTCTGAGGAAACTTTTAAATAAACAGCGTAAAAGAAAAAATAAACCAAATGGGAGCTTTCTTTTTGTTTTTGCTCATTGAGACCTTGTTTCAAGGTCAGTGAAAGGTTCTCATCCACTATTCCATTCAAGCCACACCGAGCCAAATAGCAAGCTGTTTTCAGAACAAAACGCAGTGTTGCCAAATATACAAACTGACACTTGAACCATACCACTGAGTCTTTGCAACAAAGATACAGTGACGGTAATCTGTACCCCAAAGCATTTATGCTTATGGCAACCAAATGTACTTGATAAGTCTGAGACACCATTTTTGGTGAAGCTCTACTTGGTGTAGTTTTCACTCCTAATTCCCAGTAATGACATAATTCTCATTCTTTAATGACTAAATTGAAATGTTCTACTTTAATTTAATCTTCTCCTGCATTGCTGTTACCACATGGACATTTTGTAAATATCTTTTAATCTTTGTTGTTAATTTTTTTAGTTTCTTTTAGTAATTCAACATTTTATTTTCCACCCATTAAGCATCTGAGGACAAATTTGTGTGACAACTGCTAAATCAGGTTGAACAAGTGAGAGGAGTTACTAACATTTGTATGGTCATAAGTGTTAGGCTACAGCTAAAATTGACATATTGTTATGGGACATTAAAAGCCCATAATGCACCAACAGCACCGGTAAATAATCAAGCTCATTCTTAGATAATAAAACATACGCAGCAACTGCTGTCTTTAACTCACATTCTGGCTTTCTTTTAGTCCACATAACACAAGATGAAAACTGCTGGCTAGTTATGAGATTAAAGTCTTTTACATGTCAAAGTAGGGTTTCCGGTCCTTTTTGTGTGTTTGTTTTTGTACTTTTTAGGGTTTATCGGTTTTAAACAAAACTCAAGTCAATATCAAGTTCCCACCCTTTGTTTAGTCTGTGAACTTCTTTGATTGTTTGCAACACAGGAAACTGAACCCAATTCGTGCCTCAAAAGGGTGATACAGTTAAATTACTGCCAAGGAGTAAACTGTGTTGCTCAGTGCTTGAAAGGTATCTTGGGTTAACAGGTTAAAACAATGTATTTTAAGCACACAATGTTAAGAGAAAAAGAAAGGGAAAAATCGTTTTGACCTAAACATAAAATCTGAAGGATGACATTTGGAACTGCATAAAAGACTTCAGCAAATGGAGAAAAAATTTAAGCAATTAAGAACAGAAAAAAAATAAAGTGCATTCATGCTTTTATCTCCTATTTGCATGTATTTTATAAGTTTCGTGGTATGTAAAAAATATTGGTCAAAAATTATAAATAGGATAATTAAATTCATTGGTGACAACAATACTGTGACTCATTGATACTACTATGAGTTATTCATACTACAGTGCAAT